TATGGGTACTGTATCTAAATATATTTTATATTGTATATTGCCTGTGGGATGTTTTATATTATATTCAAGTTAAAATTCAAATTACTATAATAGTCCGTGTATGTTATAAATACTGTATTTTAAAATATTTACGCGTTCATTTCTGATATGTATTCAAATATACTGTAATTAGAATCGGCACTAAAAGTTGACTTATAGTACAATTAGTCTGCAATAAATAAGTTAACTTCATTATTATAACAAACTGATAAATTAATTATTTATATTAGTTATAATAATTAGTCTTGTTATAAAATCAAAAGAACACATTTAAATTTTCAGTATAATCACATCAATACATGTTAGTAGCAATGTCATTATGATTTTCTTTTTAAAAATTTTGTTATATTGATTGTATTCTTATGTGGAAATAAATTTGAAGTTATAGCTTCAACTGAAATTTATTCAAATTTCTTTTTGGAAACTTTCACTGTGATGAGTAATGTACATCATTTAGTCACTCGTTTAAACATTTTACTATCGAGTTTCATTTATGAAACTACGTTGTAGCACTTAATTTACTAATTCTTCTGTAACAACTTATCGATGCTTGCCATATCAAACACTTTTGTTTCACAAATGCAGTCTAATACTTAAAAGATATGGCATTAGACAGTTGTTTGTGAAATAAAAGGGTTTGTTTGACAAGAAAAGCGTTAACATTGACTAATATTACTTATTACAAAAAATTGTAAAACGTTTTACTATATTTAAAATTATACAACGTTATATTAATCTTATAAACTAGAAATGAAATAATAATTTAATGTTGCAGCAATGAAAATAACGATACAAATTGGTGAATCGAAACCTTTTAGAAAGTTCGGATCTCGATTATATTCGACTCCTGTTCCAGGATGCGAAAGATTTTTAAGACTCAGCGATGAATATCTCGAATGCGTTCTTAGAACTTTAACTGCCACTGATTATCATCCCGTAGGAACGTGTAAAATGGGTGCTTTAGACGATCCGACAGCCGTTGTTGATCCCGAATTGAGGTTTGTATTGTAATTATAAACAATAATAGCGTGGACACAAGTAATTTTCATAGTTTCGGTCTTCATTGCTCTTGTCAAATAAGTAGAAAAGACGAGAGTATTGGTATAATAAAGATTGCAAATGTTATGAATTGTCACGCAGTTAATTGTTTATAATGCTTTGAAATGTTGATGCTGTACAAAAAGCTGCCATTGAATGCCAGTCAAACGTTAGATGTCAAGATGGGCATATTCTCAACTTAAATTGTTCTTGCAAATCCTGACAGATTTTTATATGTGCTTTTGATAAATATTATTGATTATACCGCAAATTTTATTAACTGTTTCTTGAAAACAAATGAATCAACGTGATATTTAAATGAGAAACATTGTCAGTTTTTGTCGCCCTAAACCGGTTTGCCGAACGTGATAAGAGGACTGAATTAGGCCATAAGTTCATAATTTCCGATTCCATATTTTATAAATGTTTTATTCTTTCCTAGTAATGAAATACGAACACCATAAAAGTATATATGGGATTTACTTCAAGCAGATAGAAAATTGTACTGCTAATTCTCGGTTATTACATTCCAGTGGTTATTCGTAAAAATTTATTTGGATGAAAAGATTGAATTCTGAATGAATTCTAATTAGTTGAAAGTGTATAATATATATTTAAAACAAATTTATTCTTTAATTATGATCACAAGCATCGAAAGTTAGAAACGTTTTTACCTTATAGAATTTTTTAAAGAAAAAATTGAACTTTTAATCGTAATTACACGAATAAAATTATAAACTATGGTACATTTTGTTTTACAATTACTTTTCCAAGTATCCTGTATTGTTTTTTCAATAATATAAAGTAACAAAACGATGTGTACAAGATAAGATCGTTCAATGATATCATTTCACTTCCAAGTTGGACAAATTGTTATTTTTTCCTGATCAAACGATTTTGCGAAATTGTTAGGATATCCACCTTATGAAAAAATTCGTGAAAAATATTAATTATTAATATAATTCCTTTAACTTTAGAAATTATTACAGTAATCATATTTTAATTTGAAGATAATGAATAAAACTTTAATTTCTCAAAAGAAATAAATAATTATCGTGAATAGATTTTTATTTTTAAATTTTTTCCGTTTTATTGTACTTCTAATTTGAACTTTTGAAAAAGTATTTACATTATTATTTAATTTAACTTTATAATTACAAAATACCAATTATACATAAAAGCCCAATACGGAAGTAATAACGTTATCGTAGTTGTTTAATAAATATTTAATGAGCTTTCATCGTGTTTTTAGTTTGAAAAACATTTATATTGTCTAAACATAAAGTAAGAGGAAAGTATTTTACTAAATAGAATATCAAATTTTATAATGAAATGTTACCAATAATAGTTTATTTCAGTAATATCGTGGTTAAATATATTTCCTATTTTTGTTTAATAAAATATACAATGATGTTAGCATAACATCTCATAATCAGGTTCTCAGAATATTTTTGTATTATACGTTTAATAACCGTATATTATAACATTTGAAATTTACTTTAAATTTGAATTAATATTTTTATGTATTTTCCATTCCATCTGTTATATATAACAGAGGGAAAGTATGGCGATCCGCAAAAATGTCCCCCTCAAACTTTTACATTTTTGAATTTAGAACACTTTGAAACGTCTAGAAATGCAAAAAATTCCTGGATAATTTCTGTGTGTATGGATGTTAGTGTGTGCGGGGAGAACGATTTTGTTCACCCTGTTTGAAGCTTAATAACTTCCGTGCTTTTTGTCGAAAATTTCTGAAATTTTGCACGAAAGCTTCTGTGTTAGAGCGATTGAGGCTTTTAAATTTTGGTGGTTAAAAGTCGAAGAGATGGGGAGATAATGGGCTCGTGTGTATCGCCAATAGGGTTGAACTTAATGACGATTTTACTCGTTATTAGCATTTACAATTTTTTATAAAACTCATCCCTACCTCAAAATTACGTTTTTTTTTCTTTTTTTCTGTTTATAATAAAAATATAAGAAGTTTTTAATAAAATATGATAACAGATGGTGCCACCAAATGTTTCCGGGAAAGTTAAACAACTCATTGCTGTATTTTTTCTCCTGAATTCTAATTCGTGATACTTCATGAATTATAAAACTTGACTAAGTGCACATATATAGGTGATAGAGGAGCCAAAAGTTAGTTAATCGTAACTGGTTCTTAATATAAACTTAAAAATATATTTCGGTTAACTGACTTTTGGGTCTTCCTGTATATAGGCTATATCATTAACGTTTTAAATGAGAGATACTCGAGACGTCATCAAATTTGAATAATTTGAAAATCTTGTTTAAATTACCGAATGTCGAAACCCCAAGGAAATGACACGTCACACATAATTACAATTTTCTAAAATATCCAATGAAATATCGAAATTCTCTGAGAGAAATGTCAAATTTGATTTCACTTAAAATATATTTAGATTAGAATTTAATACAATATACTCGATCTTATTAAACTTATTAAAATATATATATATTAATAGCCCCATTAATTATAATTTTTTAAAAAATCTTTATAAAGTGTATTTTTTTAAACTTTGAACGGTTTTCTTTATTAATTAACTGTAATAATTACGAAGTNTGTATATTGTAAATTGTAATTTAAAAATATAAAACGAACTTATTCTTTAATGTTTATTTTGCTTTCTGAAATATGAAATTATTTTCAGAGTAAAGGGAGTATCGGGATTAAGAGTAGTCGATGCATCCGTTATGCCCACAATTCCTTCTGGAAATACCAATGCTCCAACGATTATGATTGCGGAAAAAGCTGCTGATATGATTTTAGGCGATGAAAATAACATGTATTCTAAATAAAGATAAATAAAAAATTAGTTTCAGTTTAGTACGAATTGTTTTTAATTAATTATTTTATAAAAACTAATGGTTTACATTTAGAAAATTATTATATTATAAAATATATAACACTGAAACTAATGTTCATAAAAAATTAAATGTTCGTGTTATATGTCATCGCATTAATACACGTTTTTCAGTTTTATTTGTCTTCTGGCTGACATTGTTCATAAAATTTATGAACAATATCAGCAATTTAATACCAATTATAATGTTTTTAAATTGTATATATGTTTATGAAACATAAAAGAGTAAGTACTGTTTTACATGTACAGTATCCTTTAAGGCTTCGAACATGTTTTTAATGTAGACTGTCCGGCCTCGGGCAGTATTTATTAAAAAAATAAAAACTAAAAGAAAAACTTTCTTAAATCAATCGCATTCTGAAGATAAATGAACCATGAGACACTGATTTATGTCGAGAAACTTAACAACTACACCAATACTATAGCAGTAGAGCATGTAAATGCAATAACTTAAAATTGATTCCTGAAAATCAGGAATCAATTTTAATTTATCGCATTTACATGAAATTGCAATCGAAAAATTTTGATTTCATTCTGTATGAAATTATCAAAATTTCATGTAGAATTAATTTCACAAACTTAAATTTTTAAATATTACATGCTTAAAAGTAGTCACCTCGTTGCCTTTTCTCGTCAGTCAAGATAAACGAAAATAAATTTAATTTTAAAATTATAATTAAAGTCAGTTTGTTGAAATAGCAGTTATGATTTATTCAGTTTCATTGTTCATGAATACAACTTTTTACGACTTATCATTCTTTGTAGGCTACTTCGTCGCCAAATTAAAAAAAATTAAAACAAAAAATAGCTAATTAAAATAACAATTTTTAAAACTTAGAACTGGTATCTACACAGACTGTTCTTTTTTTTCCATTTATACCATATCGTGACTGTACAGCTTTTTTCCACTAAAAGTAGTTGCAGGTAAATGTAGATATTCAGCTGTGCCTAGTGATGAATCTTTATAAAATATTTTCAATGTCTTTAATATTCAGTCTAAGCGAAGACTTCATAATTTCAGAAATTATGGAGTATTCGCTTGCAAATAAAGAATTAACCAAAATTAATGGAATTTTCAGAATAACTTATTTGTATATATAAGATAAGCTGTATAGTTTTTGGTATAGATATATCAGGTGTTTAAATAAAATATAAGAAAGGCTTAGTTCTTAATTCAACAGATGTCCTTTTTACGAACACGCATTTTGTTTAAGGCAAAAAAGCATGCGTAAATACTTTGTTATCGTTTCTTTTATGCGTGCTTTTTAGTGATGCAACGAATATTCCGTTACTATTCGGCCGAATACCGAATACTTAGAAAAGGAGTAATAAATAACAAAAACACAGTAAATTAATCATTTTGGTAACTTTTATTAACGCTGAACATGCATTTCAAGTTCGAGAAAGCGCAATTTTTTGCTTATTTATGTAAAAGATCAAAGGAAAAGTAATATAACTAAGTTATTTTTTTAAGATATCAAAAAAGGTAACAAATTAAGTGAAAACTACCTTCTTATTATGTAGTTTAGTCATCTATATACTTGTATATAAAAGAACAAGTCCTGATAGGATAATTAACGCAGAGCCAAACTACTGGTGCTAGAATCTTAAAAATTTCAGGGTGTGTTCCTTTTGTGAAGTTTAGGTGTGCTAAGAAAAGATTTTACGAAATTCAACTCTAAAGGGGTGAAAAGGGTAAAAAATTTGTATGAAAATTTTTACTGCGTAGGCACATTAGATAGAAACTTAGGTCATAAAACATGAAAAAAATAATTAATTAATGATCTGTAAAGCGTTTTTATGACACCATTCCTTATTATTGTGAAAACCTGAGGGCCCTAGGCCTCATTTAATAATTTTTATTAAATATGCTTAAATATTCACACAAAATAATACTTCGTTTTTGGTGAAAAATTGGTGTTTTAGTCGTGAGAAAGGATCGATAACAGATGCTACTTCCGTTAAAGGAAGTCCGTACATCCTCTGTTTTTCCCTTATCCGTTAAAAATCTCGCTCAGATGGGAAATGGCTACCCCTCATTCGTCCCCCTTTTCGTCGGTTCTCACGAAGAGCTACTGGACGATGATTGGACAAAAATTTTGAAATAAAAGGAGAAATTAGTCAGAATTGGGAGCTCAGCGAGAGTTCTTCGACAGATCCGAAGCATACAAACTCCACATACGTCTTTCCTCCTGATGGCCAACGCCCATAACGGAGTCAGATAGACTAAGTCCCGAGTCTACTCTGGAAAGAAGTAATATTTTATATTTTGTGCACGAATTGATCTCCCATACGAAAGTAATATGAACTCTATCTACAAGGTGTCCTATATCTACAGAAACGAAGACGACAACTAACAGGTCGTATGTTTAGAATCATTTGTGAGCTCTCTCTCTCGAACGCGCATTAGCTTAGATTAAGCCGTAGTCTATAGCTTGTCGTATAAACTTGTATTTGGTTATTTGTATTCGTTGTTTGTTTGAGTTTTATTAAATTTTACTTTTGTTTATTATATAAAAATGTCTCTTAATTGGGTGTCCGAATCAGATCGCATACGCGTGTTTGTCCGCGCATCAATAAATTGACAAACTGGTGTCGGGAACCTGACGAACGTCTGAACTTCGCCGTTCAGATCATTTTAAAATACGCTCTCCTATGTAAACTTTTAGGATCGGATCTCTCGATCTGAAACCTGGAGAACTAGTTTTACCAACTGGGTGCCGAATAAGTGGTACTAACGAATTAGTGTACCCCCGGCTGATCTCACATTATTAACTTGAAAATTAAATTAACTTTTTTGTTTCATTGTAGAAAATTATTTATCATAACTGAAATTCCAGACAGCTTGGTACCTAAATGGCCCCAGGCTTTCGCCCGTGCACGCTAAGTGACTTTCATTACAAGAATTTAGTTTCCGAAATCTATGAGAACAATTATTTGGCATTGACGGCCGCGAATTTCGCGCCAATAAGCTGCCTCGACTTGTTCGATTATGTTATCAACTCAATTTCATATTTATTTTCACATTTTCACTTCACGATCCTTCTCTGTTCTTTTTCTGTTATTTACACGTGTAGGTCATTTGATATCATCATTTATCACATACTGCCATGACGCTCGTGTCTGTCCGCTACAACTGTCAACTGTCTTCTCTGCCAAATTGGCACCGTGTATATAAATATTGTTTTTATTGTTTCAATAAATGCGATGCATCCGCTCAGGAGAGCCTAGCCCTTCCTTCCACTCTCTACCCCTTCTCCCCCCTCCTATTTACCTTACCCCTCTTTCCTCTCTACCCTTCTAATACTTTCCCACACCTACCCTCTCTCCCCACCTTGTCTTACTTCCCGGGCTAAGTCGAAAGATAGCCAGGGCCGTGTTCAGTAACGCAGAACAACTAAGAATTCTGAGTGGCTTAGTGGGCGGAGCTAAGAATTCTGAGTGGCTTAGTGGGCGGAGCTAAGAATGTTCTGCCAAATGAGCATTATTGAACGACTATTCTTTGTTAGACAGCTAGGTAAAATGGCGGACGAAGTGAAAATTATTATTGCAACAATTGTCGCAAACGAACTAGCCGAAAACGATGAAATTACGAATACAATTATTCAAATGGAAGGAACGTCAGATCTTGATGAAATGAATGAAGCAATTATTAATTTTAATCAAAGAAATGGACTATTATCGTCCGTTAAAATGTATTCGGAATCTACTATACCGACGTATGATGATTTCACATTCCGAAGTCATTTTAGAATGAGTAGACATTCAATCCAAGTAAGTTTCAGTTTTAATTACTACTTTAGCTATATTCTAAATATTATCTAATTTAAAAAATTATCCATAGAAACTTCTAGAATTTGTTCAAGACGATCTTCAAACTTCTGAAACAGATGGAGTAGGGAAGAATTTAACAACAATCCCAGTTATTAAAAAAATTCTCATAACTGTATGGTATCTTGCCAATCAAGAAAGTTATAGGTAAATAATAAGTAATTAATTTAGTTTCTAAAGCGTTTTGATTTTAATATAAAGAATTAATGTTATATTTTCAGACAAATTGCGGACAGATTTGGGGTATGGAAAAGTACTGCTCATTATATAATTTCTGCTACTATTAAGGCAATTGCATCACATCAGCACGATTTCATACAATGGCCAGAATCTCATCAATACAAGTCAATTGCAAATGATTTTGAATCAAAAAGACACTTTCCAGGAGTTATAGGTGCCATAGATGGTACATATATACACTGCAAACCTCCAATGAATGGTAGGAATGCTTTTGTCAATCGCAAAGGTGATCCGTCTATTATTCTCCAAGCAGTCTGTAATTCAAATAAAGTATTTTTGGATGTATTTGCAGATCGAGCAGGTTCTACACATGATGCTCGTGTATTTCGCATCAGTCCTCTTGGTCAAAGATTAGCAAATGATCCTAACTTTATACCCTCAGATTACCATTTACTTGGTGATTCTGCTTATCCATGTACAGTTAATTTATTGACACCTTTTAGAGACAATGGTCATTTATCTCCACAAGAAAAACATTACAATTATGTACACAGCTCAACGCGTGTAGTTATTGAACAAGCATTTGGTATTTTAAAGGCAAAATTTCGCAGACTTAAATATATAGACAAAACACGCATTGACTTAGTCCCTA